ATATATATATATATATATATATATATATATATATGGAGAGATATATATATATATATATATAGATAGATAATCAGATACAATGATTCAACAATTGTATATAAATTAAGGTGAGATGCACATATTATGTATATTATACGACCCTTATCCATTATGTAAGTAGGTATGTGTATTGCCATATGCGTCCATGTAAACATGTTGGGTAGGAGTAATTCACGGGGCCTTGTCTGTAATATGAAGTCTCCTTCGTCCCACCCACATTACTCTAGGATAAGTGCTCCCAGCAATATCCAATCAACGTGTCAAAATATCAAAGTGTAGCAGAAATCCAGTGACCTGTCTCGGTAGCGCTTCCGTTGATCGAACTAACCGTCACTTGTTTTGCAGCGCTGCGTGAGACTGGCTAGCTTCAATGCATGATCGTTCTCATTAGCCTTCCTCTTCTGACTCTATAGCTACGAGCTCCGCCGATGCTATTCATGAATGGCCCCTTCTTCTAGCTGTGATTTACAGCTGCTATTAGTATAACATTCGCCTTGGTCTTCGCATGTGTCCAGGCTCAACTTTTTATTCAAGTCTGCAGACTTGGCTGGACTCATCTTCAACTATAATGCTTTTTCTGAAATCTATGATTCGCTACGCATGTGATTTGATCAACTATAGATCTTCCCAATTGTCATCAACGACACTATCAGCATTCGGGCTAATCTTTAGTTAACACTTACTACTAAAAACGTTCCCTATAGGCCCCTAACGATTTCGTGTGCTCTTCTTAGGAGCAGGAGGAAGGCGAGCGAAGACCCCCGCCTCCACGAGCTTTTACGCCACCGCCAGAGGGCTCTCAGCCCACGATGGTGCATGATGATGACGACGTCCACATACAGCACTTGGATACAGAGCGAGAGAAGGAATTGCAGAGCATCAGACAGTCGAAACAGGGCATGCTCGCCAGGTATGGTTCATCTGCGTCTGTCTACCTATATACGTGTTTTCATACGTATATTTACTTTTATCTGTTCTCGCAATTACTATCTGCTGCTCGTCCATCGTGACATGTCGAAAAAGTTTATTTTCAATAACAAAAATATGTCTCTATAACAGACATAATGTCTTCTATAGGCCGAAAGTATGGCTTTCTTGGCGCAACATATTATTAGCTGTTTACTGGATTTCGGGATTTACTGCGTGCCACGCGACTGACATAACCTATATGATATATCATCATGTCATGACCATCGTGCTATATTTAAAAAGAAATTTTGCAATAACTTTTTTTGCGCACAAATTTGATAGTATTTCATTACACCTTTCTTGGTGCAGCATAATAGCAGCAAATAGCTGTCTATTGATTAGTTTTGGGGATTGAATGCATGTGCAACGCGACTGACAGAACGTAGCTATAGATCTAAAGTTTGGTGATTATTATGAATATTACGTAACGCAATCCGGCTTTATTACCGCGTAGGTTCAAGAGCATGGAAGAGCAGAAAGAGGAAACGAGGGCTGGCCCTCCTCCTCCACGAGCTATCACACCTCCGCCCGAAGGATCTGAGGCCACCATGGTAAGAACCTTCTCAACACAGTAATCGCCCTGACTCGTGCAAATGATATACTGGCAACTCTAATATTTGTAAACCTTTTCTCGATTATCATAGTAGTTGTTGACAGCATTACAGATTTTTGGCATTGTGTTTGTGTCAGATTTACAGATTAAAATCTTGCACTCATTTGTGGACCACTATGACACTTAATGTCACATACCATGTCTTGGGCAAAGATAGATCATAGATGAATACAAGTTCATCACTAATATCAACTAATATCATCGATAACAATTTAATTCGTCGGGGTAGCATTTCATTCACGGGCATAAATTTCATTTAAATCGTGATGGATTTTAGTAGTGACATGTGAGTACAGGTGGCGCCACTCGTTCGCGACAGGTCTACGACGACGCGGAACCAGACAGAGACCCGAACGTCGTGCGCTCGGACGTCGCGACGGACTTTGACGACAACCTGCCCGACATGGATCACGCGCGCAAGCTGAAGAATATGTTCGAACAGAAGGGCAAGGAGCCTGCAAAGGTCGAGAAGCCCAAGGCGAGACCGAAGCGTTTCACAGTAAGTGCTGACATCTGCCTGTTGTTCAGTCTCGCCCGCATCTATGTGTCGTTAGCGGATTACAAGTGAACACGTCCGCAGATGTGATTTCCTCGTGTGATGGTCTTGGTAAAGATTATCTGGTCTCAATGAAATTTTCACCTGATTATGGATATCCGATTATTTTATCGCACTGAAGTGATTGGTTTGGATGCATCGAAAAATTTACTAAACAAGTGTAATGTAAAAAAGTCGTATAAAATGTTTTCAGCAAAAATTGGATCACCGGTATTTGTATTTTTAACGTGAAAACTTGGCAAATCGGACGTGTTTACTTGCAACCCTCTCATCGCCCCTACCCACGTTGCACCGTTTTTTTTGGTTGAAATTAGTAAGCAGAGATATCGGAATCGTTCTCGAAAATTCATCAATCGTTGTGCATGTGATAGCATCACTTCACTGAGACATGTGAGTGCTCTGGTAAATCTATATAGTAGCAAGTTACTCCGAGTGAGAAATGGTTCTCTGCACAGTTTATCCCGGGGTCTGCGTGTGTGCATGTACGCACACGTTGTTATGTATGTTTGACGGACCTTTATGCCTAGGACATCACAGAATCTTATCACAGACGCTCCTTTGTTAGTCTTTCGTCTCAATAGTTCAGCGAGGATTGTTTAGCAGACAAATGTTGATCAGTTGTTGAGAAGTGACAAATCGTTAGAGATAAATGTAGCCTGCCGTATCGCACCGTATAGCCCCGTAGGACCACCGCGACAGAGAGCTTCAGTGGTGCTTGTTATTTATCAGGACGAGCACGAGGCAGTTCTGTCATCGTCCGTCGACGACCTTAGCGACGCGCGCGCCATTAGCGACGTAAGCCTGCATGCGATCCAAGCGTCGCCAGGTGGCGCTAGTTTAGTTGGCGACGAGCCTTGTCGTTCTCCCGACCTCGTGACCGAGATGTGCCGAGCCGAGAGCCCGGAGAAACACGACGACGACGCCCCTTGTGATGTCCAGTACAGGACGGAGTATCGGCCGGACGCTGGTCAACCCGAGGCCAACGACAGACGCGAGACAAGAGCACCTACAGAACAGCAAATAGTACTCGAGTATCGCGAGGAGGTGCAGTCCGCGGTCAACGTCGATGACAGGTGCGAGGCAGAACGCATTGTGGAACAGCAAACGACGATCGAGTGTCCGGCGGTGGTGCAGGCCATCCACGAGGCAGAAGGATTTTCGGAACAGCAAACGACGATCAAGTGTCCGGCGGTGGTGCAGGCCATCCACGAGGCAGAAGGATTTTCGGAACAGCAAACGACGATCGAGTGTCCGGCGGTGGTGCAGGCCATCCACGAGGCAGAAGGATTTTCGGAACAGCAAACGACGATCGAGTGTACCACAGAGAGGCAGACCATCTACGAGGCAGACCAGCATGACGACAGCGGCGCAGGTTCACCCGTGGCGTCTACCCAGGATGACATAGTAGCAGCGCCGTGCGAGTCTCACACGAGGGAAGAGAGGGCATGCGACGAGTCGAGCGTCTACACTGTAACAGCTTCGTTAGGAAGAGACCATGATAAAGGCAAGGCTGAACATGATGAAGATCACAGCCTAGATGACACTGCAGTCGTGGTCACTAGCCAGTCGGCAGAGATGCAAGTGGAGTATGATGATGATGACGATGCATTGGCTGCCACGTCTGCGCCACCAGCCCAGGAGGATGAAGGCACCGATCAAAAAATATCCGTAGGAGAAATAATGCTGAAGAGTGAATCCATCATCACTGCCGTGATGAAAGAGAACTCTCGCGCGATTGCTGTAACAGGCGACAGTCAGTCAGCTGTCATGCAGATAGAGGCATGCGAGAGAGGCGGAATAACGGAGAGTAGAAGTTATATGAGTTTTATGTCAACTGGAGGAGGTGAGCAGGTGACAGAAACGTCCACAACCGTCGTACATGAGCATGTGTCATCATTTGACTCCCCAGTGTCTGTACCCGCAGCCGAGAGTAATATATGCAACGCACCAGATGATCAAACTTCGATGTCCCGGATGGAATCGGAAATATGTGCCAATGCTGAAAATTTAGTCGCGGCCGAGAAAGAAGACGAGAAAGTTTCAGGCAGCTCCAGTGATTCGTATATCAAAAAGAAGACAAAGAAGGTTTCAAAGAAAACTTCCAAATCTAGTAGTTCTAGCAGCAATAGCAGTAGCAGTAGCAGCAGCAGTAGTAGTAGTAGCAGCGACTCAGAGAAGGACGATACGGAGAGGATATCGACAAAGTTGAGGCAAAAGCATAAAAAGAGCAGAAGCAGTAGGACCAATGAGAAGAGGGTTAAAGATAACAAGAGGCGTCACGCACCAGATGGAACAAGAATCAGTAAGAAGAGTCGCTCTAGCAGTGGAGATTCTCGGAATGCAGCGAGGGAAGCAGGAATTGTCGATGGTGAAGAGCTGCTCATCCGCACTAACCAGGAAATAGCTGATGCTGTGAGAGACAATGGAGAAAACATGGACAGTGTAAGAGCAGAGAGCAATAATGTTGCTGATTCTACAGTTGTATATGAGAGGGAATCGCACATTGGCACACCAGAAGAGTCAATTTGTCATAGTCTCACTGTTGTAAGTCATGTAGATGCAAACCTTGTGACTGAGGTCACAGAACAGATAGAGATCAGTTCTGTGGATAAGGTCGCAGAACAGGAAGAGGTCAATACTATAGAAAATGTCACAGAACCGGAAATGGTCAGCCCTGTAGAGAAGGTCACAAAACAGGAAGAGGTTAATACTGTAGGTGAGGTCACAAAACAGGAACAGGTTAGTCCTGTAGAGAAGGAGAAGGAACAGGAAGAGGTCCGTATTAGAGAGAAGGTCATGGAACAGGAAGAGGTCTGTACTGTAGAGAAGGTCACAGAACAGGAAGAGATTAGTACTACAGAGAAGGTCATGGAACAGGAAGAGGTCTGTACTATAGAGAAGGGAAAGGAACAGGAAGAGGTCAGTACTATCGAGAAGCTTACAGAACAGGAAGATGTCTGTACTGCAGAGAATGAGAAGGAACAGGAAGAAGTCTATACTGTAGAGAAGGTCACAGAACAGGAAGAGGTCAGTACTATAGAGAAGGTAGCAGAACAGGAAGAGGCTAGTCCTGTAGAGAAGGTCACAGAACAGGAAGAGGTCAATACTGTAGAAAGCGTCGCAGAACAGGAAGAGTGTTGTACTGTAGAGAAGGTTGCAGAACAGGAAGACATAATTACTGTAGAGAAGGTTACAGAACAAGAAGCAGTTAGTACTGTAGAGAAAGTAACAGCACAGGAAGAGTGTTGTACTGTAGAGAAGGTCATAGAACAGAAAGATGTTAGTACTGTAGAGAAGGTCACAGAACAGGAAGTCGTAATAACCGTAGAAAAGGTTACAGAACAGGAAGTAGACAATACTGTAGAGGTCAATACTGTAGAGAAGGGGACAGAACAAGAAGAGGTTTGTCCTGTAGAGACGGTCACAGAACAAGAAGAGGTCAGTGCTGTAGAAAAGGTCACAAAACAGGAAGAGGTCTGTACTGTAGAGAAGGAGAAGGAACAGGAAGAGGTCAATACTGTAGAGAAGGTCATAGAACAGGACGATGATAGTACTGTAGAGAATGTAACAGAACAGGAAGAGGTCATTACTGTAGAGAAGGCTACAAAACAGGAAGAGGTTAATACTGTAGAGAAAGAGAACGAACAGGAAGAGGTCAGTTCTGTAGAGAAGCTCACAAAACAGGAAGAGGTAATTACTGTAGAGAAGGTCACAGAACAGAAAGAAGTCAATACTGTAGAAAAGGTCATGGAACAGGAAGATGACAGTACTGTAGAGAAGGTCACAAAACAGGAAGAGGTAATTACTGTAGAGAAGGTCACAGAACAGGAGGAGGTCAATACTGTAGAGGTCACAGAACAGGAAGTGGTCAATACTGTAGAAAAGGTCATAGAACAGGAGGAGGTCAATACTGTAGAGTTCACAGAACAGGAAGTGGTCAATACTGTAGAAAAGGTCATAGAACAGGAATATGTCAATACTGTAGAGAATGTCACAAAACAGGAAGAGGTAATTACTGTAGAGAAGGTAACAGACCAGGAAGATGACAGTACTGTAGAAAAGATCACAGAACAGGAACATGCCAGTACTGCAGATAAAGTCACAGAAGAGGAAGAGGTTAGTCCTGGAGAGAGGGTCACAGAACAGGAAGTCAGTCCTGTAGATAAGGAGAAGGTACCGGAAGAGGTCAGTACTGTAGAGAAAGATGTCAACAGTGTTGATCAAATTACAGAACCAGAAGTCACCAGACATGTGGATGACCTCAATGAACACGTAGAGTTGAATTCTTCGAATGAGGTTATCAAACAAGGTAGTGGTGACTTTGCAGTTGAGAGTACAGAACAAGGAGAAGCTAGCTCTTCAGAGGGAATCACGGAGCAGGGAGATGTTAACTCAACAGATAATTTCACAGAAAAGGTAAATGAGAGCTTTGTGGAAAATGTCACCAAACAGGTAGATGTCAGCGATGAAGAGAAGGTATCGGAGCAGGTAGAAATCCACTCCGTCGAAAAAGTCACAGAACAGGTTGCAGTTAACTCCGCTGATAAAGACATCGATGAGATAAATGCCAGCCTTGCAGAAAAATCCCCAGAACAGATAGCGATGGACTCTGTAGAGAAATTCGCAGAACCGACAGGCGTTGACTCTACAAATAAGGTCATAGAACGGGTAGAGGTCATCTCTGTAGAGAGGGTCACAGAACAGATAACTATTCGCTCTGTCTGTGAGGCATCAGTACAGCTAGATGTCAGCTCTATCGATGGAAAGCAGGAAGGATCCGAAGAAAATCTCCCCGAACAAATGGAGCGTTGCTTAATTGATGAAGTCACAAAGCGGATTAAGGACAGCTTGGAGATTGCAACAGAGCAAGCTTTCCACGACGATGTCTGTGAGGGAAATCAAGCAGGGGGAATCGTAAACAGAAGCTGTGCAAGCACTGAAGACAGAGGCGAGACAGGATGCGGCTCGCTAGAAGAGGATCCTGCAAAACTTGAACACACTCGCTCTATGGGAGAAGCTACGTCCGCCGAACAGGAAGCGATGCTCGCAGGTACCATCCAGGTCAACGAGGTCACGGACACGCAGGAGGAGAATCCGAGCACACAAGAGGAGAGGCCGATCGGAGAGGTCTATGTGTGAACGAGTGGTAAAGTTCGTTTCAGATACGATTGGGTGTAGTCGGGCCTTCTGTAGTACTTTCGGTGTGTCGGTTTGTGCTCGTGTCTATCGCTACGGTGGTGGTTTCTCTCTCGGCTTGCGCATTCCCGTACATTCTCAACTTTAGGTGTCGCGCAAGTGATCCGGCGGTCTCGCCGATCACCTCGCCACCTGGTGGTGGGTTTGTAGGTTACGGTAACGTCCGAAATGAAGCATCACCACAACACGGGTTCGCAGCATTGTCGCGACCCGTCGTCCCTGCGTTTGTTGTTTTGATGTTTTCATTTTCGCAGACATTATAACCCATGTGACATTTTGTGTACTTGCGATGACCTGCAGGTGAATGAAGGGCATTAACACGCACCTTGCCTGCAACCTATCTATCTGTATACGTTTGGTGACGGTGACGGAGGGTGTTATATATCGGCGATCCCTTCTCTCGTCCTTCCTATCCCTAATGTCACCGTGGCGCCCTCTAGCTGAACTGTATTGTGTTTTGTTTCTTCCCGCCTCTCCCGACAATCGTTTCTACCGAAGAGGAAGCACGCATGATGTAAGGGTTATGCATACACGTACTGCAGACACGGTGTAGGTTATAGTAGGCCGTGTGCTGCTGCTGCGTGCTGGTGTGGGCTTTGGAGTGCCGTGATGCTACTTAACACGACCAGAATTATACCCGTGACTAACATGTGCCATCCACATAACTACTAGTGTGCTACCGGCCACGAATTCCTGCACACGCAGTTACCATGCTTCCGGAGAGATGTGGAGAGAAATTTAGACAGTAAGACAGTAAGAGAGAAAGAGAGAAAGAGAGAAAGAGAGAAAAAGAGAGAGAGAGAGAAAGAGAGAAAAAGAGAGAGAGAGAGAGAGAGAGATAGAGGAAGAGAGAGGAAGAGAAAGAGAGGAGAGAGTGAATGAGAAAGAAAGAGTTTGATAGAGAGCGCACGCGTATGTATGGGGGTGGATGTAAGCAAAATGAGACGGAGAGAAAGAAGTGAATAAAGGGGGAAGATAGAGGAGGAAGGAAGAATGAGAAGGAGCGAGTGAAAGGTAGAGAAAAAGCCAAGTCGGTGTCGATAGGAGAAGTGGATGATGATGCTGACGCTCTCTGGGTTGCATGGCCGCATGGTGCTGCGTGCTAAGGAAGCTGGTAGCACACTGGCCGCTGCTGCATGGCATATGATTCTCTCCTGTCCTCGCGCTGGTTCCGTGTGGCTCACGTTTGCACGTACCGTACATTTAGGACCTCAATAGTCGCGAGTACTCATGCCTGGTAAAACGACCGGGAAAAAATTATAGGACACGACCCTTACACTAACTAGTTAGAAACTAGTTTAGCATTTGAAAATACCTAACGCGTGTTACCCTAAGTGGAATGGCTGGATCGTCTGTAGACATTAGCACACCCGGTCGTCTACGCATATATGGCTGAAGCATGTGTCACATGTCAGTACTGAGACACTAGATGTACGATGTACAAAATAAAATCCGGATGTACAGAAATATAAGGCCGGTATTTTTGCGTAATCGGGAATCGGTTTTCGCAGGATGTTTTTTACTCGAACATATATTATGTGTAATTATATGGGCACGGGTAAAGGTATAAAGAATCAGTGGTTTATTATTGATTATTGGATTAGGTGTGACAGGGTGTGTGGAAAGTTCTTACTAAGATGTGCTTTGATTTTTAAATTTACCATGTATTTTTACTTTAGCTGAATAGTTAATTGTCGGTATGTGCTAGTTGGCTATATTGAGAGGTGCGGAGAAGCTATGAGCAAGCGAGTTATAGCTATATAGTCGAAAACGATATAATGCCAATCTATAGTTCCTTGATGAATGTAACTAAATGATAATCACATAACCTTTTAGTTTTATTTTATTCCCTTCGGTTTTGTGGTAGGGGTTCCTTATTATTAGTTTAGTTGTAGCCCATGCTGCTTTAGTTAGGTGCTAGCAGCTAGGAGAATAAATAAACATAATTCAGTATGTATTTTTCGAGTACGCGCTTCTCGTAACGGTTGCGATGGGTTCTCGTGCAGGACTACACAGGCGGGCCAGCGGCTAAGGCGGAGATAGAGAAGTGCTGGGAGTGTGAAAACCGCGTTTATCCGATGGAGAGGATGGAGGTCGATCGCAAAGTATTCCACAAAATGTGCTTTAAGTGCGCGCACTGTCACTGCCAGTTGAGGTACGGGCAGGTTCACTCGCATGCCGCAGTGTCTCGCGCATGCACCCACGCTTATGCATGCAGTCGAGTTTGAGCACGGAACCGGGTTGGTTTATGCATGATACTTGACATACCGTGCCAGCCATGGGGGTTGATTGCAGTGGTTAGAGTAGGTACCCTGGTTGAAGCATCAACTCTTGGTTGAGCATGTTGTTGCAACAGGGATCGAATAATCCGAAATGTTAGCATCGTTAAACGCGAATGTTAACATGGGATACGGTTAGAGAATACACCTGTTATGTAAACGTTTGTAACATAATTGTTGGTTGTTGTGCACGTTTTCAGGCACGTGTGGAGTTATGTCATGATCTCGTGGTAGCTCACATTTAAAAACGGTACTATGCTGTCATTACTGATAGATTTACATCGGTTTTCTCAATGATGAAGGGTATAATATAGTATTCGCAAACAAACAATTCTAGTTGCGAAGAGCTATTTATTGCATAGTATTATTAGGAGCCCATTCCCAGTTTCCAAGAAGAAAAATTTGCAAGTTCTTCCTCGTATATTATATGTGGTAGCAGAGGCGTAGTCGGTGGCGCCACCTTGCGAATTCTGCCCGTAGCTGTTTGGATCCTATAACCAAATATATGTAATACCATGGTAATACAGTCGCGAACGCTACCAAGAGCTAATAATAGATATTATGTAGTATTAGCTCTTGATACCTCAAGTATTAGCCCTTGATACCTCAAGTATTAGCCCTTGATACCTCAAGTGTTAGCCCTTGACCCTTGATATTAGATCTCCTATTACGATGAACGTAACCAAATAGCAAACCGGTTGTCGCCATATCAGTACTGAGTTCCCATGCATGGTTTCTCTGTCCTAAGTTGGCCGTTTTACACGCTCTACACGATCAGATGGGCACGCAAAAACACTAAAACTGCCACGCATGCTTCATGTGGTCTACGCTGTTTCTCCTCTTCTAGCGTCTTTTTAGTACTGCCAAATTTGTTTCTGACTCATCTGGTCTGACTTCTTTTCTCCTTTCTTCTACTTGGTGTCATAATTCCTTCCAGATTATTTGCTCTCGTATGTGTTTTATGTTTGCCAGTGTAGTTTTTCTTGTTTGTTTGTGTTGTTTGTGTAGTTTGTCATGTTAGTGTCACTAGCCGCACTCCTTGTGCGTGTTGATAAGCCAGTCTGTCTAAATAATCGTTATTACTGTGTAGAATATTTTTCATGGCATATATTTGTTTTGTTCTGTATTTTCTTATTCTTAAACTGTTTTCAAATTTGAATTTAACTCTCAATATCAATAATAACTTGTAATGATGACCATCACTTTGCGGCATTGTTCTAGTATCTGTCCGGCGTTGAAGGAAGAATAAGTAAAACATAACGTTCACGAAATTCGCGTTGTAATCTACCATCGAGACTTGAATCCGTGTGAAGACATCTATTCTCAATTATCGTCCGGAGACAATGTGCAGTTATTTACTCAGTAACGTAGTTTGTGTGGATGCTCCTAAATGCTATGATAAATTGCTTCAACTGTGATCCCTAATATGATGTTGAATTGCTGTGGCAGGCTAGAGAGGTATGCAAATCATGAGGGCGTTCCCTTCTGCGTGACGCACTTCAAGGAGCTGTTTGGAAACAAGGCAAGCATCGTAGAGACGGGAGCGCAGCCTGCAGTACTGTCGCAGTAGTCGCGCCTACACTATATATACATTGCCGCACATAGCGTTTACACATCATGTAGATATATTTGATACGCATAGCAACGTCCCGTGCCCACTGGCAAACCGAACTAGTCCGTTTTCTTTTAGTGGCCAGCCACGGCTGCTATAGTTTTGTTGCGGCAATGATATCTACAACCCCTGTCGAGCTGGTTAATGCTTACCTTAGGTTTTATTTGCAATATTTAAGACAGTCAGGAGTACTGTCATCGACCGAAGCAAGAGATTTAAACGCTAATGATCAATCGTTTCGATTTAAAGTCCATAGTGATTAAAACGTTCCAGCTTCACATTACTATTACTATTTTCGTATATGTATTATATATTTCTAACAAAATAGGAGAATAAATTAATTTGTAGATGACATGGGAACTGCTTCTATGAATCTACTAACAGCCAGCGTGTGAATTTCTCAGTATCTTCCAGATTTATTCCAGCTGTGCAGATGAAATGTGTAACGCAATATATCGGTGCGGTTTGTAGCTGGGCGCTTCATCAGCAATGTGTAGAAAATAATCCTTTAGAAATATATACCACCTGCGAGACTTTAAACGTAGTTAAATACTAACGCGAAATTTGTAAATTTTATTTTAATTAGTAAATGCACAGAGCAAATGCGAAATTACGACTCGTCTGTAAAAACTGTCGTTATCGAGTAATAGCGGTGCTCGGGCAATACAAGCTGTTATATGCGAGTTAACATTAGCAAAGGCGAGAGCATCTTTGGGAGCAAATTCTGCCTTGAAACAGTGAAAATATTATTTATACTGTGCTATTATAGAATTGACGTTGTGACATGCAGTTTGTTTACAATACCGACACGAAGGATACGAAACGTTTTCATTCACAATTTCGCCGTGAAAGTAAATTACGTGTCGGCAATATCAATAAAGAAGGTAAATATTACAGTCGCATAATTTGCTATTATTTAATCGTGTACAGCATATGAAACACTATGCGTTTTAATGAGAGCAATGTTGGAACGATCGCGATATATATAGGAGCCATTGACGTGATGCTCACACAAGCAGGTTTTGCTATAAAATGCGGGTCTGCGTTACACAGCAGAATGTATGCAACTTTAACCAGCTGCCCTTACGCTACCAGCGCCAAATCTATAAAGCGCGGTTAGGCGTTCTATGTTACGTAAGCATTGGTTGTATAGACATGTTCAGAACGAGTGTCAGGTGGGTGTGGTGTTCAGGAAGGCGAGTCCAATTTCTCAGCAGATCAACGAAGGTGATTTATCACCTGCCGTTTGTGCTTTGCATCTACATCCACGCAGACTCACTGGTACGCGATAAGGGTATGAAATCCAGCAACCTATTGTAATCTATTTATTTAATAATATATCTACGCGTAGTGAAGGAAGTGTTTACTTGATTTTCGGTTTGAATTAATAAAATAAAGACGAGTAAATGATTGGCTTACAGCCGTAGCCAGAACGTGAATGGAAATTACCATGTACAGGGGGAAAAATCGTTTAGCGTCTTGTTGATCGTTTGGTTACTGGCACCTTCGATGTAGCCTTCATTAAATTTGTATCAAAAAATGCTTTTTGAAAAACATGTTAGTGTTTGAAACTTGCTGACGACACACGGTTTGCCGAGAAACGGTTATTGCCAAGAACCCCTACAGCCCATATATATGACATAGGCAGGAAGATATTATGTCACTATTCACTAATACAACAAAATACATCCCTAGTACGTTTAAATAAACTCCAAAACATGGCATAAGCTAAATAACAATATCAACAAGAGCACAAAAATGAATATATACATTGCCTTCTATAAATGCAGCACATTGTTCACCATTGTTATACCATACATATACAGAATATACTATATTACATAGCAATCAAATACACGCTCTTCATCAGAAATAATTTAACTTCGGGCTTTCATTAAATTTGTGCATATCAACGCATTACATGGCATAAAAAAAACATTACAGTGGTTGCTACAGAGACCAGATTTCATAGAAAGATCACAAATTTCCTAACTTTTCATTGATTTTTTTATGCAGGTACACAAGCAAATTGTATAGGGTTACTGCCCCTACCTACCCATATTGCATTCCTTCCCACCCATGTACTATTACCATTCATGTATAAAAAACCAACTTTACAAATCACACGATAGCTACAATTTTACCAATCCAATTTGAAGCTGTGATTTTACCAATCACATGCAAATTGTTATTTGCTAATGACATAACAGCTGTAACTTTACAGACCACATAACAGCTATAGTAATAACAACCACATAAAAACAGTAACACAGTGTGTGTGTGCGTGCGTGCGTGCGTGCGTGCATGCTTGCTTGCATGCGTGCATGCACGCGCATCTGGGTGTTTGTCTGTTTGGGGTACAATCCTGAGATTCCTGAACTATTGGTGGTTAATTTGTATGTTATGTAACTGGTTTAGTTTAGCCACAACGTCTACATCGCCATTGAAACCATTATCATCTAACTTTGTGAGTTGCTCTATGTATTCCTGGGGTAGTTCACTCTGAATCGCACCTGTGAAGTTGGAATGAAACAGCCTTCAAAAATATGAAATGCACATTTCCAAGACAGTGAGATGAGAAAACAAATGATTCCTTTAGCCTAATTCTATAATCCAAGCTTTCCTCATTACACCCTTTTAAGAAGTTATTATCATTGTTTAGTTGAACCACGAAATTTTGCACCGCTTCGCAGAAATGTACTGAGTTACAATCATTCACACTGACCAACTCACCTTTTATTATCACATTCTTGTACACTGTAGATGGAAGTTGGCCCTCCTTCCACGGCAATGTTAACTGATAACTTCTGCAGGTTAGTATCTCATCTTTCACTTCCACATGAACGGTGATAGGCCTATACATTTTAGGGACACTTTCCTGTCTGGAGAAAAATTGGGTGAGATCAGATGTGTACACATGGCAAGTTATCATATAAGGTACTTATAAAATGACCAGCTATATACAAAAAACGTGCATAGCAAAGTGTTGGGCACTGGCAGCTCAATCAGCAAATAAGTGAATATTCTTTTTAACAGCCCTTAGCGTATTACACTTATGATTATTATTATAACTAGTTTTTTATTATTATTCTATAGAGTGCAGTATGCAAATCCATAAAAACTGTTAATCGCAACACATCTTATTTTGCAACAAATTTGTTACCCCACCCCCAATATAAGCTGCCTCCTCTAATGAACATAAAGCACCACTGAATGTACCTATCAAGTGACTCTTTGTCTTTTTCATCCATCTGCCATACAACGCCATAAACGTGACTGCCTGGATTTTCACAAATAGTAGCAGTTGCTCCCTTCCATTTTTTATTATCAGAACCGTTGAAACCAAGCTTGTAATCCTATGTTATCAGAAAAAAGCGAAAAATAACTGTATGTACCACTTGTCCACTGCCTGCTCCAAGAAATCATTCAGTAAAATATGCTACAAGTAGATTTTGGTTTAGTGTGACAAAATAAAATTTGTTCTCTGGTTAACCACATCAGAGCCTGCACTTGGGTCGTTTCAATAATAAAAAGATAGCTCAAATAAACATAAATTGCATTTACTACCTGAGTCTTAATGTTTATTTACTCTCTATCACCTAATAATCCCATGTAAATGTTGTTCAAATGCGCCCCTGCAACACACAATCTCAACTCACACACTCTACTGTGCACAAACTCACAGAAAGAGGAGATCTATCCATAGAGCTGCTATCTTTGATCTGAAATTTGATACATATCTGCAGTCTACATAGGAATATAGAGTTTAGACTTTTAGAGTCTAGATCCCTATCTGTCTACATGTGAGTTTTTGCACAGTGGCATGAGTGCAGAGATCGTGTCGCAGAAGAGCATTTGGACAACGTTTACGTGGATTTATATATGATAGAGATTAGAGTCTAGATGAGACAGCCCAATCGGGGCAATCCTAGTTTAGCCGCGACTCCAAGATGGTTGGCAAAAATGAAGGCCGGAGTACGAAACTAGGATTGTGCAGCCTAGGTCATTTGGGCCCAAGCCTAGCTTAGTAACCCGGATTAGTTTAGCACATATGCGAAAACGTATTTGTGGGGTCCGAAACTATCACTGAGAGGGTCTATGTCCCCCAGGGTACTGCCGGAACGTACCCTGGGTACGGTCCGGTATACCGGAACGTACCCTGGTACTAACTAATATGCCAGACCGTACCTCGCCTACTCCCTAACCCTAACCCTGCCCTAACACTAACCCTAACCATATCAAATAGTTACCAGGCAGGGTTCTCCCTACGTTGCGCAAACGGGGCGCGCGCGCCCCGTTTGGGAAAACTGAGAAGAGAGAACGACTGAGAGATAAAGGGCGCGGATGACGAGAGACAGAAGAGAAGAGGAGACGAGAGAACGATTGAGAGACGAGGGAGAGATAGAGAGAGATGAGGAGAAGAGAGAGAGAGAGAGAGAGGGAGAAAGAGATCGAGAGAGGAGATGAGAGGCTTTGAGAGGGATGAAGGAGAGAGAGAGAGGTGTCGTGTGCGCGCGTGCGTGCTGTGAGCCCTTCAATTGTCGTGCACAACGTTTCCGTTTCCGGTTTTCCCTTCTTTGATTATCAATTTTCCATGTTGCGTCGCTATTAAAAAAATAGTCAGCAATGCAACCGGCGCGACGTGGTCGCTCAAGCTATGCCTTACTATATATATATATATTGCGACATAAATACGTACGTGCTCCTACGTACGTCTCTCTACGTATCTATGATATATAATTCTGCATATTTAAATATATTTTTCTTTATTTTGAGAGTTTACGTAGGTACATTTAGAAAACATTTTGATGGATCGTTTGTAAATCATAGTAAATTCTTGATGAAATAAAATAAGTAAATTGATTAAAGAGAGATAAAGCGATGCGGGAGAGAATTACGAGGCACGGCATGGTAAACGGAGAGAGCGCTACATGAGTCATTTCGGTATTTAGGAGCTCCGACACCCATTCGAGCGTTTCCGTGCCTTGAGTTCGTGCCAAACAAATGAAACATGTCAGCGCCCACGCACGGCTAACCAACTATACAAACGATAACGCGTAAATAATGTGCTTAGTCATTGTACATTCTGTGAATTGTCCTGTGTAAGATAAGTTGAGTACCTTAGGTTGAGAAAAGAATGTCTTCGCCGTCATACGGTCCCACTTTCCTGTACTTTGGGTTATGGAAGTAACCCTTTTGAAAGGAACGACTGTGTCTGGCGAACCAAGTGCAGTTATGAAAAGGAGTGGGAAAGTTGAAGGTATACTATTACTATTAGTAGTATTGGGCTGGGTTGGTAATAGGTGATGTCGCTATGACTCCCAAGTCATAGTGCATAAACTAAACTATGTGGTACACCTGCGCTTGGACCATTTCAGTAATTAAAATGCGGCAGTGGCTACGAGCGTTGTTACGGTACCGTGTATCTTAATGCTCTTAGGCTAACGGTTACGGTGAGCTCCATTCGCTTTCATACTTAACAGAGACATAAGATGGCCGGCGTGGCGCAAGGATATTTTCGAACCAATAGCGCCTTGGGGAAAATAAGATTCACGATTGAGGTTTTAGATGAGATACGCAACCGCTTAACGCCGTAAACGCCTAAACCTAAACCCTAACTTATAACCGTCTAAACCCAACACCTAACCCTAATCGTAACCCTAATCCTACACCCTAACGCCAAAAAGGGGCTTCAACGACCGACGGCTACGTACCCGTACGCACTGCGAGTCAACAATGTATAAATATTATGGATGATTATTTAGTTAATTTACAGCCATAAGACTGTATACTGGGCACGATGCCACTGCACTTGCGATGCGCTACAACTACAAGTGAAAGTACATATGGTCGTATCAAGGATCGGGTCGTTATAGGGTCTATGTCCCAAGGTACTGCCGGAACGTAATCACCCTGCCCTGGGTGACGGTTCGTCTTTACCGGCAACAGATACCCTGGCAGGGTTCTCCCCAGGATGAAATTGAAACATGGCGGGAGGGGATGAGGGGGAAACTAGGGGGGTCCGGGCTGGCGCTGTGTTTTTTTTTACCGTAACCACTAATTAATGACCTGTAAGAATCGCCGACACACCCATAGGGGACGGTATTATGGGGTTTTGTATAATATAAGATAGCCGAGGCGGATGTACAGTTCAGTTTGTGTTCGGCGACAGGTTTAGCTGTGTTGTACTGTGGTGTTATTGTCTTGCCAGGTGCATTGCGGTTACGGTAAAATAGCATGAGCTGGATCCCGTGTCCTGGTTCGAATGGAATCTTGACGTATCCGATTCTCGCGCCTCGGCAACAGCTTTTATTCGTGGTGGAGATTCTAAATCGGGCTGGAGGTATATTTAAACGGGGCGGCAACTTACAAACGGGTGCGCAGCACGACGATGAAACAGGTGGGGTG